GCTGAGCAAGTCACTAAATATGGTACATGACGTTTCTGTTCGGCGTGGAGACGCAGCTGCCCAGTAAACATTCAATAGTTTGATTCTAGATTTGAAGTTTTTGTGACTGCAAGGATCCATACTCTTTGGTTCTTTCGGTAAAGTCACGAAGGTGAAAATGAAAATAATAAAAATAAAATAAAAATGACTAAATTAAATCACGACGTTTCGGAAGCAACACAAGCCTCCGTCATCAGGTATTTCTTGCTGTGGCTGTCCTACCTGATGACGTCGTGATTTAATTTAGTTTATTTTTCACCTACGTGACTTTACCGAAAGAACCAAAGAGTATGCGATAGTTTGGCCAATATTGGTCGACGTTGGACCAGAGTATTAACTATTCTTGAATCTGTGGCTTTTGAACCAATGTTGGCCCAATGTCAGCTAACCGTGTGTCCAACGTCAACTCACCGTGGGCCAACGTTTGCATGTTTACTGGGTAACAAATCAATTTTGCTTTAGACACCGTTCCATATTTAAGCTTTGGTAGTGCGATTTTAAATTGTTATGGGTCTCCCAAGGAAACCTCTGGTATATCCATGGCATATCCGCCCCATTATTGTGAAGACACACTGTACTCGATATGCAAATTGCTCCCCAGTGGAGTTTCATAAGACAAGGGAAGTCATTTTGGAAGTTCTCCATTTTGTACGTATAGCATCACCAGCACACAAAGGTGTGCAAAGGCCCACTCGTTCTGTCATGGAGACATTTCTCACCATTTACAGATTTGGCAGAAGCTCTGGAAAATTGTGCCACACGACGTCTCGCCATCTCAGTAGAGGCCTTCGTATCCAACACTCATCATCAGAATCAGAATATGTATTCACGGATGACCAGTAGTTATACAGATGTCCAGTAGTTTGAGAGATGTTTGAATGGAATCAATTACAAGATCTCAGAATTTACACACGTGCACCAGCACTCACCAGCACGGTGAAGTATGGTTAGACAATCCCTACTACTCACACAGCAGAGGGATGCCTTCGTCCAGTGAATCGGCTAAGGGATGTATATTTATTATCAACATGCGCACATACAATGGGACTCCTGGAAAGTGAGGCGGTCTGCAGAATATAACAGTTATGTTCTCTTCTGCCTCCCTTCATGTCTGTCTGTCTTGTGTCTTGCCCTCTCGGCAAAAATATAGAAATCAATCAATATCGGCCCACTTTTCCGAACTGAATCGGGTCATGGGAGCAGTGACTCTGCCAAGCCCTTCCATCCTCACCTGTCCTCCGCCAGCGGCATCAACGGTGGCAAAAATATCGATCTCCTTTAAAAAACTAAATACTCTAAATAAGCAGACAATGTTTCCTTTGCAGAAAATACAAGTATTTTTACACAACCCATTGGCCACACGGCCTTCTGGGAGTGCATCATTTTGGCAGCATTGATTCAGTGCAAGCAAAACACTGCACTGGTTCTAGATTTTAAGCTTTCGTGACTGCAAGGATTCATACTCTTAGGTTTTGTCGGTAAAGTCACGTAGGTAAAAATTAAAATAAAACAATACTCTGATAATTTACAATTTCTTAAATTATCAGAGTATTGTTTTTGTTTGCATTTGACTGCAAGTATTGTGGTTAATGTTAACATGATTCATTGCAAAAGGTGCCAGTTTTGTTGCCAGAGAAAAGGGGAAACCGCCTATTAGTATAGTTTTGTACTGGCAAAAGAGGCCGGCCTCATGATAGTCCAGATTTGTTTTTGTTTCGGAATCAATGCTTCTGAACTTATGCACTCCCAGAACGCTGTGTGGATTATGGGTTGTGTAAGAAATATACATTTTATGTCTGGAGATGGATATATACACGTGAAGGCGACTTGATATTCTCTAAGGACGCTTATGATTAGTTTTAGTTACATATTTCTACCTACGTGACTTTACCGAAAGAACCAAAGAGTAACATAGTCATGTTTGGACAGCTCTTGACACAGCCATTGTGAACTCTCTCAAACAGAACAACCCACAGCAATGGGCCTTCATTGTGTTGTCTCATGTATCTCTCTCTCTCTGGTGTTGCCATAGTCACCCCGCAGAGAAGTCTGACACCCAACCGCCTCTGGTTTGTCTTCTTGGTTCTTTCGGTAAAGTCACGTAGAATGGAAATAATAAAATAATAAAAATGTAACATAATAAAATACAATTTTAAAAAATATATATAAAACATGGTTCAAATCGCTTTAAACTATTGTCATTGTAGTGCGCATTTAATGTGGTAATAAAATAATACTAATAAAACATAATACAATTTTTTTTTTAATGTTGTATTTTATTGTTTTTTTTTATTATTTCCCTTCTACGTGACTTTAATTTTTTAAAAATTGTATTTTATTATGTTTCCTTTTTTATTATTTTATTATTTCCCTTCTACGTGACTTTACCGAACGAACCAAGAAGATGAATCCCTGCAGTCACGAAAGCTTTAAATCGAAATTTCGCCTCTGGTTGTGTTATTGCGACGGCTGTGCTGTGTTCACGTGCACCCTCTGGTGGCTAAACTAGGCTCTTTTGTATTTGCCATGGCTTCAGACCACTCGATATGGTCTGAGATATAAACAGCTTGTCAATTCAATCAATATGCTGTATGGGGCCGTCCATAAATGACGTCACGCGATTTTGGACGTTTTTTGACCCCCCCCCCCCGTCGTCACACGGGGTCACAAAAAGTCAGACCCCCCCTCAAATATGACGTCACAAAGCTCTGCCCCACCCCCCAAAAAATGCTTCAAATCGTTTTAAACTATTGTCATTATAGTGCGTATTTAATGTGGTGCTGCACTCTGATGTTGTAGGAGAAAACATTTATTAAAAAGTCGATTTAATTAAATGGAACGCGTTGTCTATATTTATTTAAAGTTGCGCATTTTGATGTGACGTCACATTTCTCAACCCCCCCCCCCCCCTTTGTCACACATCGTCACAAATGTCTGACCCCCCCCCCCTAGGTGCGTGACGTCATTTATGGACGGCCCCTTATCAAAGAACACTGAAAGGTTGGGCTCAAGGTAAATATAGTATTAGCAAAACAAGTGGGAGGAATGCCACCAAGGCGGATTAAGTTCACGTTTCAATGTTGTTTAACCAGATTAGAACCCAGGAGGCCAGCAGAGTGTCATTTGCAAGTGAGCTGGGTCAACATCAGAATGATACTAGTAGGAACCTCTGGTTACACCAGCCCACAGGGGATTATTCTGTCCGTCCGTCCGTCGTGCAGGGAGGGGCTGGGTGGGGAGGGGCTGGGTGGGGAGGGGAGGGTGGGGAGGGGCTGGGTGGGGAGGGTGGGGAGGGGCTGGGTGGGGAGGGAGGGGAGGGTGGGGAGGGGAGGGTGGGGAGGGGCTGGGTGGGGGGTGGGAGGGGTGGGACTGGGTAGGGAGGGACTGGGTGGGGAGGGGCTGGGTGGGGAGGGGAGGGTGGGGAGGGGCTGGGTGGGGCTTGGTGGGGGGTGGGAGGGGTGGGGCTGGGTAGGGAGGGACTGGGTGGGGAGGGGCTGGGTGGGGAGGGTGGGGAGGGGCTGGGTGGGGGTTGGGAGGGGTGGGGCTGGGTAGGGAGGGACTGGGTGGGGAGGGGCTGGGTGGGGAGGGGAGGGTGGGGAGGGGCTGGGTGGGGAGGGGAAGGTGGGGAGGGGCTGGGTGGGGCTGGGTAGGGAGGGACTGGGTGGGGAGGGGCTGGGTGGGGAGGGGAGGGTGGGGAGGGGCTGGGTGGGGAGGGGAGGGTGGGGAGGGGCTGGGTGGGGCTTGGTGGGGGGTGGGAGAGGGCTGGGTGGAGAGGGCTGGGTGGGGAGGGGTGGGGCTGGGTGGGGAGGGGCTGGTCACCCCGTGGTGCCCTTATAAAACTCAACATTTAACCTACTCACGCCGGCTTGTGCCCGCCCTCACAGTCGGCCATATTTGCGGAATACACCACGCCGCCGTTGACCCTGCAGGCCATTGACCGAGCAACCCGACGTTCCTACCAGCTCCCTGCGCAGGAATGTGTTTAAAAACTCAGTGGTTGGGCAGTTTTTGGACAAGCTTAACTTTCTACAGTTTTTAAGAGCAACACAACAATAATGTGACTAAAGAATTGCTACTACAGATAGTAACAGTTGTACACACGACTAGATTTCTTACTGCGGATTGTAACAATGGAAAGTTCTGGAAGAGACGCCGGTGTTAATAATTGATTCCTTATAGATTTCAAAGCTACCTATAGTGAAATAGTTTTGCGTCACTATACATTGTAATGCATAGTAATGGATTTGACTAGTGTAACGTGCACTTTTTTGGGTCCTTTTAAATTTGTTATATTTTTATTGTCGTGCTTTGAAAGTGGAGAAACCCACAAGAACATTATGTAACTACTGGATTCAATTTCGATTTAAAGCTTTCGTGACTGCAGGGATTCATATTCTTGGTTCTTTCGGTAAAGTCACGTAGAAGGGAAATAAATAACAAAAATATAAAACAATATTGTTTTATATTTTACGTGATATTTTACGTGACTTTACCAAAAGAACCAAGAATATGAATATAGTTTGAACATCTTTAAACACCAGTTTTTTTATTGCCAGAAAGGGGTAAACACCTATTCTTATTTGTTCTCCGTCCAGTATTGCTGTTAATCAGTTTAACGTGTAGACTTTCGCGACCGATATCATCCATAATATTTAATGATTGTTGTTATTGTTGTTATTGTTGGTTCTTTCGGTAAAGTCACGTAGAAGGGAAATAAAATATATATTATTTATAAAGAATGTTTTTATTATTTCCCTTCTACGTGACTTTACCGAAAGAAACAAGACTATGAATCCCTGCAGTCACGAAAGCTTTACATCAAAAGCTATTATCGTGATCATTGTTGTCATTGTTGTTATTGTTGACGGGGCCTAGTCTAGACTAGGCCTTACCCCGGTATCCCGGGGCAACCGCGGGATCCGGATCCGCCTCCGGGCGTTGTGACCCGCGTCCGGTTCCTCACGGATCCGGTTCCCGATCCAGCGCCGCCATCTTGGGTCCCCGCACGCTGTCACCGGTCCACGTTGAGAGCGACGAGGAGGCGGCGGCGGCTTTGGACATCGCACACAAGGCAGTCTTCGTTCTCTCTTCTCTACCTTTAACACCGACACACAAGCGCGTGGTGACGGTGCCATGGCCACCGAGTACATCAGCGAGCTGGACAGCCGCTTCTTTGCCGACAACCTGCTCATGAAGGAGGACTGGGGTAAGGTGCAGCGTTGTGTGCGCTATGTCAGTTGTTGATACGGTGACAACGACGACGGTGGTGGTGGTGACAGTCGTGATAATCATCTATAGCCCCCTTGGTGTACACGTCTTGGGCTCTGTTTGAACATACTTCGCCATTGCGTGCAGGTCGTTGTCGGTTGAGGCGCTGAGAGGAGCGTAGGGAGGTTCACGGGAGATAATGAAGGGCGCTGCCTATTGCTGTCTTCTGCCCCCCTGTGTGTGTGTGGGGGGGTGTGTGGTGGTCACTACCATCGTGAACGACTCACATCAGTGGCGAGAGATAACTGAATGTGTACTTGGCCATGCACCGTCGCCAAACCACACTGATTAGCCTGGTGAAGTATGGTCAACCCCCCCATGACTGACACCACATGGGGAGATCATCCTGGGATGGATTGACAGCTGACTTTAAATGCTGTTTCATGTAATCACGTTAACAGTGCATTGTATTGATTGTTGTATTGAATTGTACGACAGTGATGCTTTCCTGAAACGTCAAACATCGCTCAGGATACTGCTGTGTATGCGGCACTGCATTAGACCATTCAATTACACGTGTTGCTTGGTGGAAGGTTGCACCCTGTTTTTTTTTTATCAAAGATTCTCCTTTGCGAGAACGACATCTACATGAATGGGGCCTAACCAGGCTCATCATTCTTGCAAAGGTGTCCATGCATTCGTTGTGTGCATATCATGGAATCGCATCCCTTTTTCAAGCCACTTGGATGAAGGCATCTCTCTCACGTTGTCATTAGTGGGGGGTTGGGGGGGTCATAATTTGACCATACTTCACTACTCTGGTCAGCAGTGCACTTTGATGAAGGGCGAAGGGGAGGCCGAGCACCGGTTCAAGACTTGCCACTGATGTTCACTTTGACGGATAGTCGAACTTAGGTTATCAGCTTTGCAATGTGTGGTCCGAAAACCATCGTGCCACTGCTGCACCCGTATGATGATGCAGTGCATTGTTCATGCAGGATCTGCTGAGACGTGCATTGTGCGGGGATTCGTTTGTAAGCCACCCTTATTCAAAACCCCACATTGTAGTTAGGTTCTCAATAAAATTGGTGTATTGTGACCACAGTTATGCAGCAGGTACACCAAGGTAATGCAATGGTATATATATTATTTCACATGCTTATATTGCATTACGTTTTTGTAGGTATAAATGCCCTTTTGGGAAACTAATTTCGACCATCTGCCATAAAAAGGGGAAAAACCCTATTAGTATATTTTGGTACTGGCAAAGGAGGTGCCATGATGTAGTTGCTCACCCCGAGCTCTCATTACTCTCGTAGTGCGTTGTCTTTGAACTGTGCGCCTTTTGGCGTCATCTGGTCGAACACCATATGAGACTAGGCTCTAAAGAAAGCTGTCTCTGGTGTGGACCAATCAGTTTCAAAGACAATGCATAAATTATCAGAGTATTGTTTTTTGTTTGCATTTGACTGCAAGTATTGTGGTTAATGTAAGCATGATTCCTTGCAAAAGGTGTCAGTTTTGTTGCCAGAAAAAAGGGGGAAAACCCTATTAGTATCTGTAAGGATGTTTGCTTGAACTGAAAGTGTTTGGGCTGCAACCATATTACATCTGGTTGTTGAATATACCAAGTTTACCTGTGTCGTGTTTTCTGTCCATGTACTGCAGGTTAGCTTGTGCAATAGAAATTATACTTTACCCTTACAGTGTTGCTGATCGTTTGTTGCAGAAGAGTGCATGCATGACTGGCGATTCTCCCCTTTTCCCTCCTCATGGACTGAATAGCACCATGTTTGACACTGAAATTTGTCCACCTTGTCACACCCTGTTCGTCCCATGGTTTGCTATTCTGTGACATTTTTCTTTGCAATGCACTAACTGCAAAGACACACACGCTTTACCTCTACCCTACAGCACCGTGTCACAATCCCTTCCGTGTAACTATTGTTATACAGATGTCAATCACGTGCTTGTAGAGTGCGATGAGACAGCTGCCCTGCCTTTTGCACAATGCGTTCCTCACCTTTCCACGTTAAATCCATTGCCTCAATTTTCTTGCAGGTGGAATAATGAACTCCTTTACATTCATTTCATGATTGGTTGGTGTGCATAGATGGACTTTGACCAGTGCGCACTGTGTGGAGTTATTTGTTTATAACTTCACTTATTTAGAACCCACAATACATCCTTAATTGTGTGTTCTCTTTAACAACTACCACGTGCTGTGCAGTTGAATGAGATGAATGATTACACCATTCAGGTACTCTTTAACAAGCTCCAACCTTTAACACTTTCTGACACTTTCTCTGCTTAACTTACCTCTCTGCTTTATATCAAAACCCACCTTTGACCCTAGCCAACGTTATTTATTGCCAACTCTTTGGCTAGGTTCAGCGTACAAGCCCGACTGAAACCATTATCAGACCATGTCACTATCATAATCGTTGTTTAGGACTCAAGTTGGTAACCACATGATTGAACTGGGTGTTGCTATCTTGATAGGGTGTTGTTGTTTGTGGTTGGTGAGTTCATAGTTGAAAGTTTAATTCTAGTCTCTTTGATATGGAGAGTTATTGCTCTGCTTTTATTCAACCTACCATCATCCTACTCCTTATTATATAATTCATTTCACAGAGCTTCCCAAAGAGGGTCTAATTGGGTCCACAGACCATGCCAATTTTAATTAAAAAAATTGTTTAGCAATTCACTTGTCTGTTTTGGAGTTTGAACTCTGACACCAGTACAGTGATCTGTGTTTCAGAATAATGACATTTACTTTGAAACTTAACAGCACCTACCATGCTTTAGTAGTCGTTCCCCACGGAAATTGGAGGGCATCTGTGAGTCATCGCCATGGTGAGTGCACTCACTATCAGGCAGCACACCACCCAACATGCAGGTTCTCCAGCCAATTCTGGTTCTGATGTCAACTTGCATTTCCTTGTTTTTTTACTTGTGGTTTTCTGGCAGGGCTGGCATTTGCATTTTTATGGAAATCTAATGCACATTTTTTTAATGAGGCAGATTATTCCTGCTATAATCTATTCTTTTACTATAGAAAATATTGTATTTGAGAGTCTTATATAATACAGCGTAGTGTGTCTGTCAATTTTCAGTGGATTCGGTTATAAATGAAGCACTGGTATTACGTGTATAGCACTTTGCTTTCTTTTAGTGAATTACATGGTACTGTATTTGAATGGACGAAGCCACTAACTTAACACAATTGACGGCACAAGTTTGAGGACATCACCTGTGAAGGATGTAGAGCATCACTGCTAAAACATCAAGGGGGGAGGTGTTTCTGTTGACCACCCCAAGGCAGTGATCGTAAATCCTCACTCCTATGTCAGAGGACAATTAATTGATTTTTGCAATCACTGTTGACTTCCCACACAATAGTGTTACATCTACACATGTATAGGCGTTGGTAACCGGGTTATGGTTAGCCAATGTAGTGCCCGTGGCTCCCAGGTTAACTTGTCTGGTTTCAGATACCGATGAGAGCTTTGCTCTACATACAGCACACTGGGTGACGCTGTATTTGGAAATTAAACTCATTTTGCACAGGAATTGTGGACGAAATGGATGCCCAGAAGGCACGGCCCAAAGATGCGTCTCTTAGAGGGTGGAGGCTGCCTGACAAAGAGCTGGCGTACGTTCATTTAAAAAAAATAGCCGCATCCGGAAAAACAAGCTCAGCTACACCAGCAACATGGCACACTTGTTGAATACCTTTAACTGCTTTGTTTAAACTGGTTGTTTAAGCCCTTGTTGTATTCAAGTTATGTCCTCATAGACCACGACTTGTTCAGCGTTTGATTGTAAACTGTGCAGCAGCTGTGCCTAATGTATGTTATTTATACGCAAACGAATAGACATATGGAAGGGCTATTAATGATGAATATTTTGGTAGGTTTATGGCTTCTTGATATTAAGTGTACAGTTTTTAAGCCAAATAGTTGCTTACTCTTATGAGGGCGACTGTGAGGAACAGAAAAATGATGGATGATCTTGTTGCGATGAGTCGCGTGTCCTATTCATTCACCACTTATCAAAGTCGTCTTCCCCTCAACGCGTTACATTTTAAGTCAACTGGGACACCCCAGGTAAAGCATATTATAACCTCCAATACAATAGTGTGAATTTATATAGATACATTAGGCATATATTTTTTTTATAAAGAGAGGCAGTTGGTCATAGGCAGAGACAAAAAGGGTATTGTGCATTGACTTGAACATGGACATAGAGACTCAACAGCATAGATAGCTAGAAGGGAGTTACAGAATGTGCGGGCGATAGGAGAAAGAGCAACCTCCCATTGAGCGAAGATTGACTGGCCATTTGGAGGGGAGTAGAGTGGGATGAGAGGCAATATGTCGACACGGACGAGTCCAGGGAGGATATTGAAGATGGCGAGCGCAATTTTGAAATTGATCTGGGAAATTGATTTGGCATTAAATGCATGTATGTTAAACTTCTTTCGCATCGTACGTAGCCAACCGTGATAATCTGAAGTGCGGGGAAAGGGCAACGAACTAAACGCAGAAAGCAGTTTTAAACAAATGAGTTTTAAATCTCGATTCAAAAGTGCATTGGGTTCCCATCCCCACAGATGTTTCTTCAAACCATGAGACAAATGAGAGGACTGAGCAATAGATCTGGGGTACAAGGGCGGTGGCTAAAGTTCTTTATGAAGCCACGTTCCATAATGGTGGCTTTCACTTGGCAAGCTGTGTGTGTGCGCGTGGGAGTGTTGTTGTGAAAGTGTAGTTACTAGATTCACGTTAGCGACACGTACACATTCATCCAAAACAACTTTTGACTAAACTAGAATTATGTATATGGTATCTCTTCTTTAGAAGCAGGTTAGATATTTTTTTAAAGGTAATGTCTGCTCAAATTAATGTGGAATGGTTGGTCTGTAATGATGCACCCCCTTGTAGTTAGATTAATTGTCAGAATTGAGGGTTGTGGTTGAGTTTAAGAATTGATTTTGTTCCAAAAATTCGTGCATTGCAGTGCCTCTATTGACACGAACAAATAATATACAACATATATTAAAATATGTAAGTCACACTTAATGTCATGCTTGCATCATGAGCATCATGTATTGAAGTCAAGTCAATACATTGTTACACTCCTTTGTGTTTCATGTGTGGAAATATCACAGTCCAAAGTATAATTTCCAGTCTAGTGCAAAGCGATAACTTATCACAGTGTCTGAACTGGCCTGTTGAATACATAAATTTAGACCTCATCGGTACCCCAATATTTGAGTTGAAAATAATGGAGCAAAGTGCTTTTGTTGTTTTTTTAAGAGTGGCCCTTGATGGCCCCCAAAATTACTTACAAGACTAAAAGCAACATCAAGCATGCATTCCACGGTTGCTATTTACACGCGGAGCAGTGACCACCTCATAACACACGGCACAATCAACAAAATGCATCAACCGCATGCATGTTACACAGCAAAATAAAAACCACAGCATAATAAACAAAATGTCGCATGACCGAAACCACACGCCGCTCATACGCTATCAGCTAACACTGCTGCACAACAATGCTTGGAAACCACCAGGAAAAGCAACGTAGATTAGTCCCACCAGACTCAAGGCAATGTTAAAGAATACTCACTGCAAGTACATTAACATGAGCTTCTAAAAAGTGTAATGCCGTTCATCGAATTTATCGAATACTTTAACCTGCCAATATCCGGGCGCGTGGCACTGTGGTCAGAGCGCTCGTGACCCATGACCAGCAGTTGTGGTTTGTAATTGTGGTTTGGGGGGGTCGAATCAGCCCATCGTACATCTGAGATTGATGAGAGGAATACCGTTTAAAGGCATTGCAACCGTGGTTATATAATATACACTGGTTTCTGTCATGGAAATGTGGATTTTTTACAATTTTCGCAGAGTCATTGGAGATTAGCAGAGGGACACTGGCTAGCATATTGGTCTACTAAAATGAAAAATTATACAAAATTTAAAGGACTGATATGGTGGTGGTGTATATATAAATGTGAAAACTCGTATCCTTTAACACTGCTTTATAGCATAACAACATTTAGTTGGCTATCTCTATTGTATATGGTGATTTCCTCTTCTGGTGAATAATTTTTGCCCCCAAAAACGTTTCTCTGCTCTCTATTTTGTCTTGAAAGGTTATTACTATTGACAGCCACAGTGTGTGCTTAAACTTTCACACCATAGGAACAATAATTTCATGTGAATTGTGACTTTTAATTAACATGTATCCGTGTTATTGGTTTTTAAACAGAAGTACAGCATGTCCATGTTAAAATCGCTCTCACAGCCCACCCAAACGTATTGGGTTTCTACCGTCTGTTGACTACGGTTGTTTTTGCTCAAGCAGCCGTGTTGTTTGCGACAGTTGGAGGTGCACATTAGATTACTACTACCGAGAAATCGGCTCATTTTATCAGGTTACGTAAGCGTCTACTCACTTATGACCGCGTTGATCTGGCATAAATCTTAATTAAGCAGCGAATTACCCAGCTCCGCAAACCACTTGTTAGAAGCTGTCCCCCTCATAGTTGATGCCGGTGTTCCACGTGGCTCAGTTTGCCAGCTGAACGTTGGCACGATGCCGGAGGGGCACACTGTACACACGTTAGTTTCAGTGCTACTTCGTAAAGTGAATAGTTTTTGTGGATTGTAGGATGAACCTTTATTTACAAGGAGCACTTTGCGAAATTGCGTCAGCGGAGGGGGATGGTGGGGGGTTAGAAAGCAGATGCGTATCTGCTCATCTGTGTAAGGGTAATGTATTAGATTATAAGCTTTCCTTCTACCATTGAAGTCGTGTTTCACGTGGAATTTGAACCTGCCTGCTAAAGCGTGTATATCAAATGTCTCAAGGCGTCCATGTGCTGATTATATGAGACTGCATCATAGCTGAATTTGGCAGTCTGCAACAGACCATCCATTCGTTAAGAATTAGCATTCAATGCAAATATAATTTTATCTGACATGGCAGACTATTGCACACAGAGTGACACTGAACGCTGATGTTGTAAAAACGTTAAATTCTCATCAAGGGACTTGGCTGTGAATTAGCAGTGTTAATGTATATTTTGCACTTGGGTCTGCAGAATAATGGTAATTTGCATAATGGTCGACATAAGGAGATGCCCTGATTTTTCTGGTGAGATCCGATGGAGTGCTGCAGGTGTGAGAGTGAATCCAGCCAAGTTGTGCTGTGACTGGAGTTCCTTGCTCGTGGCAGCCGGAACATCGCAGGTTTAAAATCAAGGTCGAGGATCAATTTGGCCTCTCATGGCCAGCACCCTGGGAATGTGGAATTTCTACCACTGGCTCAGGACAAACAGTGGCGACTGGAACCACTCTACGATCGTTTTAATCACCTCGACTTTTTGACTTGGGTGCAGCAGTTATCCAGTAAAGTTTACATAATTTGTTACAAATCAAGCACGATCAAATTGTCAAGTATAGCCTACTTATTGTGAAAAGTTGAAATAAGAATGTTTGCCATTTTATAAATTATCATGGCAATTGCTGTTCACACTAATTATCTTCCATTTCTGTAATTGTTTGTGTTCCTTCCTACAATTTACATCCTAGCTAGACCACAGGCATATAACCTGTTTAGTTTCTATAACAGTAAAATTAACTATGGGCAGGGTCATTATGGTGGTATGTGTAACACTACAATAGGGTAGTAAATGTTAGTAGTAACCTGGAATTGACTTTACTTTTCACGGATAGATTATTTTGGAATTGCCAAAGCAGAGTCTGCTGGAATCCATGTTAAAGACCATGAGACATCATTCCCAAGAGTAGACTACTGTTTGCCTGTGTTAAATATTGAAATTGCCTATGACAATAATTGAGAGAAAATAAAGATCTTACCCCATAAAGCCATTGTCAATCATTTACTTATTTATCCATGAAAGCCACGTTGTATTGCAGGACTCTTTTTCGGGAGGGTCATGTATTGGGTATTTATTATAACATTTTTTCAGGCAATTAATTAATGTGTGAGCTCGTGGGAGGAAACTGGAACACCCGCACACGTGCGAGGTGGCAACGCACTATCCATGCACAGATGGGAACAGATGGCAATCAGTCCACTTCGGTGTGCTGCCTACTGCTGGCGAGCCAGGTTATGGCATCTCAACGCCCACGGGAAAGGAGTTTCACAACATTTGTGCGATGCACCAACTCTCGCCTCCACAGTGCTCGATTTCATTGCAGGTGTGCATAGCCACCACCCACTGCCAGGATGATCATGTTTTACTTGTGATAAAGGATTGTGATTCACAATGGATGCTCATTTGATTCAACAAAGGGCATTGACTGGCAGCATAAATATAGCACACGAATATCCAGGTTCAGGATGTTTTGAGTGCAACACCCATGCAGGCTTTACAGACCTGAACACACGGAAACGTAACGCTACACTGCACACCTTTGCAAGTCGCACAGTTGCTTAAATATCACAACTCAGCCATGAAAAACAACTTGCACGATTGGGAAAAAAAGGGCATAACAAGTCCACCACATTTTTGGTTTCAAAACGATTGTTATTTAGCCAACTATTGCGTCACAAATTGTGCAACAGTTTCCTGTGCAAAGATCACGTGTTTTTTTGCTACATTTTCTTTCCCGACAAGAACTCCATGTTTCTGGAATTTTTAAAATGTTTTTTAAATTATTATTATAGCCACTTAATTTATTATCTTTACACTTGTTTACCCAGGAAAGCCCGAGTCTCATGACTCTTTTTCAAGATGGCCCTACCACATTTCCACAGTACAAGGCCAACAATGGCTATGAATATTTTAACTGAGTAATTTGCGGTAATTTTTTTGGCCATTTTGGACATTACATTAGTGCGACTACGACCTTATGTTTATCTACCACCTAATCATGCCATAATCTCTATTCCCTGAAAGGCGCTGGATACATTGTTGTTGTAGTTCACCCAGAAGTTAATTGATTGTGAAAAGTGATCACACAATCACAGGTACACAGTGGTCATAGCATGATGCTCATCACACACATCATAAGTCCTTATAATGGACAACATCGATCATTCCAAGTATTTGTCTGCTCAAACAGTCAAGGTATGATACTCATTTCTATTAGAGACCATACGCCAGTGGTGGAAATTCCACATTCTTTTGGTGTGTTCCGTTTTTTTCGAAGGACAATTACTGTTGACTTCTGAAAAAGAGATACCCATTGTATTGATCCTGATGGGGTTTATGGGCTGTGTGGCAGCTTGACCAAGATTGAAACCTTTGACCAACCCTTGTGTTGCAATGCCACCCAGCCGGATTGAAACCACATTCCCAATAACAGTGCTACAGTCCGATAAACAGCAATGAATTCATCTTAACATACCGTAACCCCATCTTGTGTGCATCCTTACAGATGGCTGCCTCTATGACCTGGAAAACATGGACATTCCAGACGACCCCGAAGACCCCTTTGGCATCCTTCGCGATCATTCCCATGTGAGTGTGCTGCTGCGTTTGCAACCTTTTCAGTAATATAGACACTTCTGTTAATGCATAGTATGACAATGTGTGTCTGGATCGGTCCTATTCCTATGGATGTTGTATATTCGCTCTAGATCAGTGTTATTCACTAACTATCAGAGGGGGGGGGGCACTTTCGCTGATAAGACATCAGTGTGAGGGCTGCCACGCATTTGAAACCATTGGGTTTGACAGTACGATGATGGGGTGTTTTCACATTTGTGTATTGTCTGGGGCTTTACGTCAGGGGCTGCACTAAAGGCCGCCAGTGGCCCACAGGTCTTGCATTGAAGAACACTGCTCTAGATCAAATGGGAAGACTTCTATGATCCCTTGTATGGCAATATCTTCTCCTGGGTTTGATATTGGAAACAAATAAAAATGGGAAATTGATGTCTGTGAATATATACATTGTCACTGTCTGAACACCTTTTACTGGTAGAAACCTCCTGGTTACACCAGCCCACAGGGGATTATTGTGTCCGTCGTGCAGGGAGGGGCTGGGTGGGGAGGGTGGGGAGGGGCTGGGTGTGGAGGGTGGGGAGGGGCTGGGTGGGGAGGGGCTGGGTGTGGAGGGTGGGGAGGAGCTGGGTGGGGAGGGTGGGGCTGGGTGGGAGGGGTGGGGCTGGGTGGGGAGGGGCTGGTCACCCCGTGGTGCCCTTGTAAAACTCAACGTTCAACCTACTCACGCCGGCTTGTGCCCGCCCTCACAGTCGGGCATATTTGCTGAATACACCACGCCGCCGTTGACCCTGGCCATTGACCGAGAAACCAAACGTTCCTACCAGCTCCCTCCGCAGGAATGTGTTCTGTTTATTGAAACAGCCATAGTTCCCACGAATGATATTGAAGAAATGTGGCTGTATGGCTTATGGCATTGTTGGAGCACCGAGTCAACACCACTGAACCTGCGTTTCCATGACTATTGGGTCGAGCTGACTTATCACCGAGGCTAGCGGGATTACGAACGAGGCTAGCGGACTTGGCCCGGCTTCTCAAGGTAGCTCTTAGCGGACCGACCCAACGCTCAGCATACCATGTGACTCTTTCAGAATTGAGGCACATTCTTTGACTAGGGCCACCCATGTAACTATTCTGCACATCGCAGGGTCAATGGGGCGCCACAGTGGCGAGATGCTAACTAACTCGCCTGGTAGGCACGAGTTCGTGGGCTGCAACCCAACCCTGATGCCTGTATAGTTGGAGTTTGCACGTTCTACCTGTGGTCGCTTGTGGATCTTTCTCGGGGTCCTCTGGGTTTTTCCTCCACATTTAGAAACATGCGTTTAGAGTATTTGGCTGCTATACATTTTCATTGAGCTATCATTTGTGGCCAGGTCGCTTCTGAAAAAGAGCTACAGTAAAACCTTGGATTGCGAGTAACTTGGTCTGCGAGTGTTTTGCAAGACGAGCAAATTTTTTAAATAAATATTAATTTGATAAACGAGCGAGGTCTTGCAATACGAGTAGTACGTGTATACGCTTTGTCTGCCGAGCGTCACGTGATCACAACTGATATACGAGTGCTTTGGATTACAAACACGTTTCCGGAACGAATTATGCTCGCAATCCAAGGTTTTACTGTATATAGCTCCGTGTGCCTTACCTGGTGAAATAAAAGAATAAATAAATAAAAATGGATGTGGATGTCAGACGTGCGATCGATGGGAACCCTTGTTTAGTATAACTTTATTGCCTGTTTTTGTCCAAAAACATTCACATGGTACAAAATTATACAACAATATATTTATGTTTGGGATGACCTCATCTAAGCATTAATTATTCTTTCATAGGGTTGATATAGACGCAGAGTAACAACTACAATTTTACGTTCAGGTGGTCAAGCCAAATAATCGCGTCGGGAGCAGCGGAGTGTATCGCTGTGATGTCTTCTTCGTATTTGTGGAGAGGGCATTGCTTCGCTATATGTTGTATGAGCATTCGTTCAAGGGTTTTGAAAATATGTTTTAAATTATTATAATTACCCTCTGGTTGCAGAGGTTAGAGAAGGGGGGGGCATTGTGGAAAGGGACAAACATCGACAGAGTTGTATGGCTCACAGAGTGTGGGGGACTGCATCCGTTCACTTCCATTTCTCACCCTGGTCCAGCGGCCAACATTTTGCCGTCTCGGGGCAGCAATCAGCCTCTTGTTAGATAGACACTGTTGGTTTCCCACAGAGAGACGTTTTCTTTTTAATTCGTATAGCTGGAATATGCCGCATTAAGTGAAAATCCAAATTAATTACAATATGTGATGTGCATTTAAAGGGAAATAAGCTTAGAGGGGTAGCTCACAATGCTTGAGAATGCAGCTTAATTGCAGATGGATGACCAGATTCAAACCAGGGCTCTGCCCTGCTGGCTTAGTGCTCCAACATGGAATTATCCCTGCGAGTCACCTAGCCACTTCGCCAAACAGAATCGGAATCTTTATTTATTCCAATGAGCTTTGAAGCTTTTTTTCACAGGTGTCCAGTTTTGGCGGCTCAGCGATTTACAACAGTGAACAATACGAAAAACGATGGGAGTGCAAACTAGAGAAAATGGTCAGGAAGCCACGAAATATGAATAAATATTACATGCATTAACTATACAAGTCAGATTTCTCAAGATTGGGCAAGGCAGCAAAAACAAAAACAAAACTGTCCCAGACCACACCAAGATAACAGCACTCGGCAGTAGTCCCTCAATAAAATGGCAAAATAACATTGAACTATAGATACTACTCAGGTAAGTATCAAAGTTACAAATCACATTTGCAAATGTGACTATCCAGCACTAAACTTCTGCTTCAGTATATTTTTGAAGAAAGATTTGCGATGTTCAGGGTTGCAACAAGGTTGTTCCAAACGTTGGTGCTGCAACGGCAAAGGCTTTGTCACCATTCCAATTCTTGTTCTAGGGATATTTACTTTACTTGACCAACCAAAACGAAAGCGTCTCACAGCACGCACACTTGCACTTCTTACAGATGGACGAAGACAATGACATCGAGCTCAAGCTGGAATCTCTCTCCCCCTCCTCGTCATCGTCGTCCTCCAGTGACCCCTGGTCACACGTTTACACCGAAATTTTCCAAGGTACGAGTGCTAGGTGTTTGCAAGTCTTGAGAGTGGAAGAGTTTTAGTGTGAACGCACACGAGTAAGTCTTCTGACATGCCACATTGTGGTTTCATGCCCACGGTAATCATTGCTTGATAAACTTTAAAGCTTTGTTGACACTTATGTGCTCTTTCAGTGGTGACACTTTCTTTAAGTGACGTGGGCAGGGAGAGTTGGGAGGTGACGCAAGACTCTTGATTGAGGGCACTGTCACTCAGTTGCATCAGCCTAATAGTGCGACGTATTGAAAACAGTTGAGTCATCCTCTGTTCATAAATCCTGCTTCACACATGGTGATTTTCACAGGCTCAAGAACAGGATGATTCATGCTTCGAGCTTTAAGCTGTCATTGCTATGTGCGGCACAATGGAGCGATAAAGGAAATGGTTTCATCTGGCATCGTTTCTCTGGCCAATCAGACAATTGTTATCTTATCTGGCTCCTTACCTTGCTCCTAGCCTTGCATGCATCCCATCAGGAAGTTATGTCACGTGTTATTTTATCTTTGGCTAATGCGTGTGTGGACCCACTACATCCTTGGGTAGCGATGTGAGTGAATCACTAGCTTCACATGGTGGCACTCTTGGTGTTGTGCTTTGCTTGTAAAATTCAGTATGTGTCTACCGATAGCGGCAGCAAACAGATGTCAAGGGTTGTTGTGACTGGGTTTTGCACAAGTCCGTCCCATTGGTTTAAGTGTGGAACTCGTGTGAGCTTTTTGTTTGTGTTATAAGGGGCAGGGTTGATTTAACGCCGCCTCTTCCTCGTGTTTAGTCCACTTGCCTGTGCTTTACAGAGCATTTCCTTTTTCACTGTGGTGCAATGGAGGTGATTTTGGTTTGTTTTCATGCAGACGTGCTAATAAAGGAGGAGCCTCCCTCTCCACCCTCATCCAACTCGTCCGAGGTCCTCATCAGCACCGTGGTGGAGTCTTCACAAAAGCACGCGGTACGAGGAAGCAGGGACAATGCAGATGATTTTTATATCGATGAATGAAAAATGTAGTCGGTAAAATACTGGGTTATCTTAACCCAGGGCCATCATTCTTCGTGTCCATAAAATAGTATTATTGTGAGATAAACCCAACAATGATGGTCTTATGGGTAAGATAACTCCCATCGTAGGAATGTGGCTCGTGGCCACCGGTGGAGACGAGCACCTCACAACACTTGTTTTTTCATGGAGAGACTCCATGACTTAAACTTTTAATTAATTGTGAAATCAAGAGCCTCTTGCGTCACCTCTCAACTCTCCCTGCCCAACGCAGGCAAGCGCTGCACCGTGCCTGGGAGTGAAGTTGGAGGGGCCACCAACACCGCCGTACTGTGTGGGGGACATTCCCTCCCCGCCACGGACGCAGGCTTCAGGCTCCCCACCCAGCCAAACCCAGGCCATCCTGGAGTGGCCCAAACGGGAACCCAAGCATGAGGCTCTTGCACCGACCACAGGTGGGTGAGCTCGCTTGGCCGAGGAGCAAGTCACTTAATGCACTGGCACGTTTGGACATGGAGCGTAAGGGGAGAATGCAACTGCCAAGAGGGGGGAAACTTTTATAAGGCCACGGTGGCCAGGTGGCCCAGAGACATCACTGACATCCTAGGTTCATATCCAGATTTCAACTTATCTGTGATTTAAACCAGATTTCTTTCAATGATGCCACAAAAAAACTCGTGTCAAGTTTGGCTTTTTACTTTATTAAACGTATTTTAGCTCTTGAGGATTTAAAATTTAGGCTTAATTGCTTTGTGATAAACACTAGGACAGTTGACATGTAGGTAACAGTGATACCTGTAGCTGCCCCTTAACTTTTGTGAGAAGTTTTCAGTGTACTCTTGATCTGTAAAGTGGATTTTATGTGAGCTAATTGGTAAGGGTTAGGCCATTGCGTGTGTGTTTAAGCTTAAAATGTACTCATTGTCCTGACAACAGCCCCACTTGGAGCGTTTGTAACTACTTTTGCTCAAGAGAGTTAAATATTTATGGACCCATGCTTGATTGAGTGTATCACATTCCTTTCCAATTAATGGTTTATCATATCCTGTGAATTGTGTTTTTTCGTGTACAAATGTGTGCTCTGGCTGTGACATGACCGAGTGAAAGGATGTTTGCCACTTGCTGCAGGTGTTCACGATTTTAATCCAGCAGCTGGCCTGGTGAACACTGTGGGTGTGTTAAACGTAAAATACACGCAGTCTGCTTCAGATAGTGCAGATTGGACATTGAAGAGCCCATATCATCAGTCATTGTGTGCATGGTCTAAATTTGCCAAATTAGAAAAATTACCCACCAATTACTCAATTTAAATTGTATACAGCAATCATCATGGGCAGTACGTATGTATGTTGAGCTTCTTTCACACCCTTACATAGCCAACCATGCTAATCAGAGGTGTGGGGGAAGGACATCCAACTAAACACACGGAATAGAGCCATGAGACTTAGTGAGATTTTCCTGCCTAAAAAATATGAATAATGAAAAAAAAACTTTATCTTCCTTCTAGGGTTGGTGCCAACTCAGTGCCAGCAGAAGGCACCCCAGTTGCTACAGTCCAACCTTGCTCTGCCTTCTGGCATCACTGCAGCACCCAACACCACCAAAACCCTTATCCTGCAGCCGGTGACTTCCCTGGTGCCACAAACCATCGCTTTCCAGGCAAAGCCTGCTGGTCAGTAATGTGACCTGAAGGTTGCAGTTCATCTCCCATCACTTAGCAGTGGCACAGCAGAATGCACCACACACAATGTGATACCTGTGCTCAGCTCAAAATTAAACAGTTTAAAAATAAGTTTAAATTCTGTTCAGGGGTTGACTCTAAACATTATTACCCTTTGGTTGGAGATCAATAGTGGATAGCATATAGAGCAGTGGTCCTTAACCTGGGGTGCAATATGCCCTTTCTGGGGGTGTGAGACATGCCAGAATTTTTTTACAAGGTAAATGATAGAAAACACAAATTTAGCACGGGCACATAAGTAGCTACTTTGTTTCTTGAAATCGATGTATTTATTAACATAATTATTTTTAACGATTGAGAACCAAAGGGGTGCAGGCTGCAGTAAAGGTTCAGAACCACTGCTATAGAGGAACTGGTCTCCACGAATTAAATGTGAAAATCCCATAATTGTCTCTGTACCAAAAATGGGGAGATCACCATCATTCCCATTGCTTATTTGACCAGGGTAACACTGACTTTGAATACTATGAAGTGCCAATCCTATGTTGTATATGACAACTCCACTGCATGTAGGACAACCTTGAAAATATTAGTGGTATATGATAAAATATATATGTTCCAGCACATTTATTTCACGCGAGTATGTTTAATACAAATGTGAATAGTATATTTCATTCACGATGACTAGAGAATTATTTTAGCTAAACCACGTCCTTCTCGTTTATCCCACACTGCCCTGTGACCTCTCCATCCCTGTCATCCATGCACACACAGCCCAACCGGTGGTCCTATCCACAGGTGGGCTCACTCGCCTGCCAGCCCAGTGCCTTCTCAAGCAGCCGCAGCCTGGACTCGGCCGCACGCAGCTTGCACATGGACCGTGCAACCTGCCCCAGGGTGGCCTGGCAAACGGACTATCAAATGGCACAGCTAATGGCGTTGTTGTCAAGGGAATGGCCAATGGCCTGACAACCAAGATGGAAAATGGGGTGACGGGTACGTCGGTGGCTGGTTTGTGTTCTCCGACGTTTGTGGGCTCCATGTCTGCTTCTGCGCCGGGTGCCTGCCTGTCACCGCCTGCCAGTACAGCACCACCCACCACTGCTGCTGCCGCCGCCGCCGTCGTCAAGAGAATTGTGCCCCTACAACCGCCGTCGAGAGACCCGTACGGCAGGGACGTCGACGTACGTTGAGCCCACACAAAGATTTCACCGTGTTTGTCAGATGTTACCGTTGGACGGTGTGGCTAAAGGAAGTGGCTAGGTGGCTCAGTGAGTTCATGCTGTTGGCCTTGTTGGAGTTACTGTGCATTTACTGATGAATATGGTCTAGGTATGAATATAGTTTTCATATATCTGATTTAATCAGACTTCCAAGTCAAGTTAGTTTGGCCTCAACCCAGGCACCAATGATTGCACAGGAAAATCTTAACGTTTGGTTTTTCACTTAATCTGGCATTATCCACGCATGATGGCTAAAATGTACAAATATATCAGGAAATTAGGATATTGGGCATGTTCGCATTTTTTTTATAAGGATACATCCTAAATTATATTTTGCTTTAAATCACACAAAGTGTTTTGTAACGATCAAGGGGTGTTCATTTTGTTTCATAACTTTGCAGTGTCTCATATTGCAATCTCAGATAGCTTGCATCCATACCCCGAAAGGCAGTTTCTGCCCTTGCACTTTTCATTGGCATATTGATAGAGATAGTGGATCTTTGCAAACAGAAACAAACCATATATTATGTACACAAATGTATTTCTACGTGAGGGAGACTGGCCCTTGGCCACCACGGCGTATGTTCATTTATAAACTATTATTTAATACTTAAATATTTATTGTTATTTACTTTGTTTATTATAACCAATTTGATATTTTTTTGTGTTAGGTTCATGTTTTTAATAGCTATTTATGTACTCCAGGTTATTCATTAAAAATATTTTCATAGGCCAATATAATTTTCAGCAAAATTTGCCATTCATATATATATGTTGAACTTCTTTCACACCGTACATAGCCAATCGTGCTAATCGGAGGTGCGAGCATCTCCGGAACGTATTCTTCTCGAATAATGAGGGAATGCTGTGCCGTTGTGCGAGCAGGTGAAGGTGCTGAAGAGGCAGCAGCGCATGATCAAGAACCGCGAGTCAGCCTGCCAGTCCCGGCGCAAGAAGAAGGAGTACGTGACGGGCCTGGAGGCGCGCCTTCGAGACGCGCTGGGCGAGAACGAGCGGCTCCGGAGAGACAACGCGGAACTCAAGCAGAGGCTGGAGGGGCTGATAACCGAGGTAGGTGCCCGTTTCGATGTGATAATAGGTAAAGGTTTATCGGACGTTTCTTTAATTGAGCAAGGTTGTAAGAACTTTGGGGGAGAAAAAAGAGACCGATTAGCATGGTTGATTACGTACGGTGCAAAAGAAGTTCAACATATATACAATGGGAGGTAAGTCCAACATCGCGCAGTGCCAGATAGGAAGCTGAAAGAGAAGTGTTTGACCTGCAGTTTGGTGGTGGAATACAGTATGAACAAGACAAAAGAGTATTGGTGAGATCGCATCTCCAGCATGGGTGGAGGAATCATGGAGTGAGATCTGTGGGAAAGGTCATCACCGTAGGGATAAAAGAGTGATAACGAGGCGACTGACCACCCATGTGAGCTGCGTGGCAATTGTGCCTATTCAACGTAGGTTTGGGCCTTACCTATGTTGACACGCCCTTAATTGAGTGTGTAGTAAACAGACATCTGCACTGGGTTCGCAAATGTAGCCAGGTTTTGGTACTGGTTATGAAGCACTTGTCTTTATCGCCTGAAAGGCTGTATAGGGTGAATTTGCCTTTGTGTGCCTGGGAAAGGGGGGGAGGGTTGTTATGGTTGTTAGTACAGTATGCTTCAACTTCACTGTCCAGGATTAGATTCCTGGCCAAAAATGCACAGCGCCATTGGTATGTTGGCCTTGGCTTTTCCTAAGTCGACTCGGCCTCAAAAGATTCCTGATTGGTATGGCATCTTTATATCATGATCTAATACCATTGTTTCCAGTATCGTCAAGTATTAGGCATTAATTCTTCCAGATATTCGATTCATTGCAATTCTGGGTCGCAATTTGATTAATTAATTCCAGTTTTTTTCATATTAGCCACCTAATAGTTTTTTTAAATTTCTCCTTCATCCTGAATGTTAGCAAAAAAATATCATTTTAATAAATCTTAGATAACTGCTTCTCACACACACAGTTCGATGCATGTATTTCAGTTGATCTTGAAAAATGTCTCCAAAAGAGATATTGATGTTGGATCTTGGTGCTGGTTGTGAGGATATCCTGCTGCTCTGAGCAGATTAAACAAGTATAACCCGTAAAAACAAAGTTTTTCTCTATAAATCCTTTATATGCGTGGCGGCTAGAGTCCTCTCGTCCTCTGGCTTGAGATGGCTGCCACCTATGGGTCAGATGATTGCATTGCACCATTAAGCAATTGGTAATTAAATATAATATTTTTATCCTAAAAAGTGTAAAATTTTGGAACAAAAATTTTCACGAACATTAATTGTCACGCGCAACGAGTCTGTGTGGAAAATGTCAGCTCGATTGGATCACGGGAAGTGGGTTAAAAAACGACCGAAAGATTTGCACGGTTGTAAGCAAGCAAGCGAACTTAATATAAAGGATTTAAAAAAGACATCCCTGTTAAATTAATATTTTGCTTCAATGTGTTTTTATCTTTATCTTTATTTAATTCTGTTGTTGCTTATAGCAATGTATTTCAGGAGCTTAATGGCAATGTTGTTGCTTGCTAGCCACGATGAGAGGGCTTCAGGAGAGAGTTTGTGCTGTTCCTCCGTTGAAGGAGTGCAGAACTGAGCACTGAACGCACAACCGTGGCCTGACACTGATCAACAGGTGTGTGCAATCGATGCGTAAAGCACGCAAGATTTGCCCAGACATGACTGCATTGCGCATCATGGCAAGGGATTTCCATTCGAGCGGTCCGGCTGACGGTGAATCACGCACGCGGGTGTTCGTGAAGCACGTCTCCACGTTGGTGATGAAACCTTTCTGCGTGTTTTCTATCAAGTGAAGTGGAGAACCGCTACACTGCACTTCAGCATCGGGGCGGGGGGGACTATTATTACAGTGGGGTTAATTTGATGGCACATGTGTGTGTTTGCGTGTGCGCTTCTCTTACTTAGAACACCCAGTTGAAAGGAGGCGGTGTATCGGGCAGACGCGCTGTGTGCGTCATGGCTCTCTTTTGCTTCCTGGCATTGACGTGGAGTCCTGGCAGGTAACGATCACGAGCACACGCACACTCACACCGCACGCATGCACACAAGCATGCCGATACACGTCTCGCTGCTACCGCAAACCACACGGTCGCCTCTCTACCTCAACGAATTAATGGGATATGGTGGCGCTGATGCACATTTATAACAACAGCAACTCAAACGCTCATCGTGCGTGCAAGGCACCTATATGCAGGGTGGCAACGTTTTCTGTTGGGGGCAGTGCAGCAAGTAGTTTGCCGGCTCTTTACGTGCAGCGTTTGAGTGTTCTCGCATCACGTCAGCGGTTTCTTCACCAAGATCCCGCAGTGGAACTTGATTCCTGCACAGCACTCTTTGGTCGCACTAACTCAACACTTATTATCAAGTTTCACATAGATTATAAGAACAGTACATTATATTTTATCCATATTTGTTTATTTGTCAGAATTTGAAAACAGATATGGATCAATGTTAATCTATTATACCAATTATGAATCTTGGATAAATATATTGGCTGCAAAAACCTACATTCGAAATTAACATTGCCTTTTTGGTGGTTTAATTGTAATAATTTGTAATCATTTTGAAGTGTCATAATTCCCCTGCTTACATTCGGCAATTATGTATGTAGAACTTCTTTCGCACCGTACGTAGCCAACCATACTAATTGGAGGTGCGGGGGAAGGACAACAAACTAAACACAAAAATATCAGTTGTGAAGAAATGAGTTTTCAATCTAGTTATGTATATCATGTGATACATTACATGACATCTAAATGGGAACAAGTATCAAGATGCTGTACAAAGAGAGGGACATGCACATCTGGAGAGCTGTTTGTGATTTTGATTGCACAGCAGTCCTCACATTATGACCAGGTAGTGCTTGCAGGTTTGGTAAAAAATACACATTGGGCAAAGTCGATAGGGATTATCTTATGGAGTGATTAACCCATCGCCATAGGTTTGTACAATTTTCCCCTACTGGATTGAGTCTGCCAATGAATGTTTGCTGTATGACTAAAATTCATTTGGGTTGATCAGTCGATAATATGTTCATAACTGATGCAGTGGTGTCACATGTCAAAGCACTTGGCTGTCAACTGGGATCCTGGGTCTGAATCCAGGCAGCTGACCGTGGTTAAACCGGGTTCTCGGGTAGAGTGAGTTATTGGTTTCAGCCTCGTCATCAATGACTGCACAAAAAAAACTATCGCAATAAATTTGATTTTGCACATCATTTGGTTTGAATGTCAGTTTGTAGCAGAGCAGGTGGGAAAGTGCTACATCTGTGTGGACCAGAGGTCACTGGAAGAGATTTCAAAAGCAGTTCTGTGATATCCACTTTTGTGGGCTATTATCTCGCACAAATGGTTGTACTCCTCCGCAAGATTTTCAAATGGACTCCTTGTCTCATTACATGATGCCGATAGCACAATTGTGATTACATTTGGGAGAGGTTTGCAGCGTTGCAATGGGTGGGTGGGGGAGATATGGTGTGACAGCACGGGCAGCTCAGGGTGTTTGTAGCCCTCAAGTCGACCCCGTGACACACTCCATTGCAGTTTTGAGTTGGACATCAACATGTCGAGTGTGACTACTTCTGGTCCATGCTGGTGCACATTATTTAGGCTAAAGAATACACAATGGCCATCATTGATGTCCGCAGTGCTGGTGCCGAGTGCCGACTCGTTAATTACTGTGTGGACGTTTGCAGGTTCATGGACAGCGACACGGTGCCGATGGCCGCGGTTCAGTCTCCCGCGGAGCTGACGCTGAGACACGGGCGGCACTTGCTGGCGGTGCCTCCCGAGCCGCCTGCCTTCCACACCCAGCCCCACCCGCACAGCCCCCGCAAGCACCATGTCTACACGTATGCCACCCAGCAGCGCTCAAGCACGCACGCATGCACGCTGTTGGCTAGCCAGCCTCCTCGGGGGTTCGATCCCGACCCTGATGCCTACTGTATATTTGAAGTTGGCGTGTTCTCCCCGTGGTCGTGTGGATATTTTTGTTTAGATTTGGAAACATGCATTTTTATTATTTATACTCTTTTGCTGCTATAAATGTACACGTGATAAGTCACTTTGTTCAGCTATCACTTATGGCCAGGTCACTTCTGAAATATAAGTGAATGGTTCAATGGGCTTTACCTGGTAAGAATAAACATAGTTTGGTTTCATTAGTATACTTTTTAAATAATTTGTTTACCTTTCCTATACTTTGCACTATTATGTTTTAGTATTGTTGTAACGTTTTGATCCACCCCTCCTGGACATCTGTGAAAAAGAGCAGAATAGCTCATAGGATTCTTCCAGTATAAGTACATATTCTGTTTCTGACATGCTTTGTGTGAGTCCACTGCTGGAGGAGGGGCTTCTTCTTGGCTCATTCTATCACTGGCCTCTCAAACCAATCTGGAAAAATCTTGTTCACTTGGCAATTCCTACGATTGTCCACACTTGTCTGTCAATTAACCTTCATCCCTATTTGTTCAGTCCACTACGGCTGAGGGCCTTTTCCTAGCCTTTGCGGGTTGCGGTGGTAATTTGACCAAACTCATACTCTTTGGTTTTTTCGGTAAAGTCACGTAGGTAAAAAATGAAAATAAATTAAATCACGACGTTTCGGGCGCATCACACAAGCGTCCTTCAGGTGGGGACAACTTAGCGAAAGCACACCGCTTAAGTGTGTCTCAGAGGTGGCTGTGACGAGTAATTTATTTAAATTTTTTACCTACGTGACTTTACCGAAAAAACCAAAGAGTATGAATCCTTGCAGTCATGAAAACTTCAAATCTAGAATCACTACACTTGTCACTGCAGGTTGGTAAAGGCGAAGACCATATACATGAAAACTTAGAAGTACAGTACAACAATGGATTTTACTGCAATATTCTCTTCACTTGCCCACCGTGAAGTCACACAACCAACATGGCACTTGTTTGGTGGTTGCCCATCTAAACACTATCCAGGCTTACCTTCCAAGATCTGATGAGGTTGTCGCAGATACAGCTTAATTTGTAGACGCCGGGATATTGCACGTCAGGAATCTTGTCCTTCACAGATGAGATCAGATCACAAATGTTATGTACTGTGTTAAATCTTGTGTTTGTTCATGGTTTTGGAAATCTTTTTGTTTACCCCTGCTTCTTGCCTCATGCTACTTGACTTTAGAATGTCCTCCCATCGTCTCTTTTCTCAAGCTCTTATTAGCTTGCTCAGTTCCAGAAACGTGTTAGCTCTTATCTATTACAACTTTTATAGTGCTGTTTGTTGCTGGCAGTTTGTGTTTTTGGGGCCTGTGCTCAGTAATAAACATGGAATATCCACGTTTTAATCCGGATATTGACATTTTACATGTTAAAATGCTCACTCACAATTGTAAAGCGTTCATTTAAAATCCTGCATCGAAATACATTCGATCCGTCATCTCCTCTCTGATGTCAATACAATAATTACTACTTTGTGGAGAGTCAACAGTGTGTAATGTATAGGCTTGTTGTCACCTTGAAAATGTATAATTTCCATCACTGCCCAGGTGGCACTTATGTTTATTAGCGTACGCACATATTAGCATTCATGTTGCGACAAGTACTTTGAAAGTTCAACACATCACCACCTGTTGTACCTGCCATTGATAAGAGGTGAATGTGTGCACCGTGCCTTGTTGTTATTTAGGAACAAGACAACATCCCTGGCCAATGGAAAAGAGTTGCTGGTGACTGTGAACAGCTCCCTACCCAGCCTCCGGCCACCGTCATGCCCACACTTCAATAAGACCGAGTCCCTCCGGTATGTATGCATGTAGTTTTTATTTCGAACTGTACATAGTCAAATGTGCTAATCAGAGGTACGGGGGAAGGACAGTAAACTAAATACCAAAAGAAGATGTAAATTAATGAGATTTCAATGTACAGTAAAACTTTGGATTGCGAGTAAATTGGTCTGTGAGTGTTTTGCAAGACGAGCAACATTTTTAAGTAAATATTAATTTGAAAAACGAGCGAGGTCTTGCAATACGAATAGTACGTGTATACGCTTTGTCTGCCGAGCGTCACGTGATCACAACTGATATACGAGTGCTTTGATATATGAGTGCTTTGGATTACAAGCACGTTTCTGGAACTAATTATGCTCGCAATCCAAGGTTTTACTGTAGATGATTTAAAATTACATAGCTTCAGTCAGTGGCTTACTAATTTTGACTTTTCTCTCTGCCTGATGAAGACCGCTTGTGTTGCGATAGAAACGTTGTGGGTTTTTTGCTTGAATTTTATTTGTAATTTTTATTTTATTTTATCTACGTGACTTTACCGAAAGATCCAAGAATATGGCTTCCTAATATTGGAAGGAAGAGCGTTCCAGACAGCTACAGAAGCGCATCTGAAAGTGTGCGATGCAGTGACCGTCTTTGTACGATGGCTAGCCGTGAGGATGAAGACACATGTTTATTTTACATTTAAATTCCAGTTTTACTCTTGGTGATATGTCATGAGACCCCAAAGAAATTCCATTCAGAACTCTTACAGTGAGCAGTGTGACATCACATCATCACGTGTCAGAAAATGGTCTTCGTAGGTCGTGTCAAAAAGCTCTTCACTTGGCCTCATCCCCACTCAAGCACACCTTCAAACCAACATTATTCCAGCTCGTCAAAGCTGGAATATGCTGAGTGAAGTTATATACCATAATTAACATTATGGGTGTTTAATGCCATCCTGATTGACCAGGTCTGATTTTGATTAATTAATTTTTCAAGTTTATTTTGTTAAACAAGATAAACCTGAACTGGATTCTTGAGAACCCAGGTTCATCACAGGTGGCTGCCCATATTCGAACCCAGGATTTCAGCGGTTATTAAATACAGTAAAACCTTGGATTGCGAGTAACTTGGTCTGCGAGTGTTTTGCAAGACGAGCAATTTTTTAGAATAAATATTAATTTGATAAACGAGCGAGGTCTTGCAATACGAGTAGTACGTGTATATGCTTTGTCTGCCGAGTGTCACGTGATCACAGCTGATATACGAGTGCTTTGATATACGAGTGCTTTGGATTACAAACACGTTTCCGGAACGAATTATGCTCGCAATCCAAGGTTTTACTGTATTTGAAATATCATTGATGAGGTGTGTGTGTGATTGTTGATTGATTTGGCATGTGTGTGTGTGTGTGTCTGTGTGTGCAGACTTGCAGATGAACTGAGAGGCTGGGTGTACCGGCATGAGGTTGAGCGGCGCAAAGTGACTAAACGGTGGCAGCCCAAGCCGCCCAGCCCACCGGTACCTAGACAAAGACCCCCCCATGTAGCCTTTAACATACTGTTGGGGTGCAAGTGATGTTCGCGAGCACCTATGAAGGCTGGCACGGCACACGAGGAAGTGGGTGTCCCAACACGACACCTGGCTACCTTTGTCTCCCCAGTGCTAATGTTAACAACTGCACTGGGTACTCATTTAAGGCTGAGTCGACCTAGGCGTGGCCTAAGACCGGTTCATCTCCATATATATATAAAAGGCAAAGTTGTGAATATGTGTGTCTGTTCAAAATGTTTAGCGTACTTCCCGACATGCAACAAACTTTAAATTTGCCATGTGGGTACTTTCCAGACTGTACACCATGCAAACATTATGAAAATACACTTTTTTTTGGGGGAGCTCAATAATGCATTTTTTTTTGCACGTCAAGTGAGCTGTGACGTCAAATCTGTCATGTGACCCGCGCATGTGGAAGCATAACGCATTGTAGTGTAGTGGTTAGCGCGCTACGCTACGAACCTAGCGACCCGAGTTCGATTCCTGCTCACGGCCACCACCGGTGACGATTATTTGAACCGGTCCTGGGCCTCCCCTAGGTCGACTCAGCCTCAAACAAGTAACTGTTGTGGTGTGTGAACATCGCCCCTGGGGGGACAAAGGCGGCCGGGCGTGGTGAATCCAAGTCCCGGGCGAAGCTCTGTAGTGAAGCTAGTATACCGTATGGTGTTGTTTGTGGCTGAGAGTTGAACTCAGGTGGTTGGTATTGATAGTGCCGTGCACAAAAAAATTGCCACATGCAAAACCCATTTCCCCTCAAGGCAAACGCACACACAGACAAAACCTTCCTGTGTACATGTAGACAAGCTTTGTTAATGACCCACAGTATTACTAAGTCTCATCGTTGTCAAACTGCATGCTGTGACCATGAGTGTATCTTATCTTATCTTGGATATAACTATATTGGACAAATAATAGGGATACTTTCCAAACGTATGCATAATCACCACCCTACGTTGAGCGCAGGAACGAATGTCGTTCATGTTGACAAGTCCTCGCTCTTGAACGGCTAGACGACTCTGCAATTACGTGCTTGATTTGGCGCAAGTGGCGTGGACGATCTTCCTGTTGAGAGCCTTGCCTCTGTCTCCTGCAGAAATTCACCACCAAGCGGTCATCCATTGGGCGAATCCTGTCCATACCTCACCCTGACGCCACCAGGTAGGTGTATTTCTATATTATATTTTTACAAAGTACAAGGGAACTGTTACAGCCATGCTATGTGGAGCATAAGCCAATGAGGGGCTGAAGAGGAGGTGTTTTAGAGGGGGTGAACTGCTGCGAGGGCGTTATCAGGAGTCGTCAGGCTGAAGAGTGATTCCCCGATTGACGGGGAGAGGTCCATCGGACTTCCTGCTCGTTTTCGGGACGACCCAGAGACCCATTCCACTCCTGCCAATACGGCTGTCATAACAACTGCGTTCTGGTAACAGAAGACAGTGCTCCAAGAATTGAAGCTTGCAAGGAGGTTGTGTCTCTCCCGGCCTTCTGTGCGGAGCATGCAAACCCGGAGTTGTTGATGGACTGTCTAGCATAGTTAGACCTTGTGTTAAGTGATCTCACGGTGTTCTTGGTTCCTGTTCGTGTGTTAATTTAAATATATGAGAGGAATGCTCTTGATCTCGTGTCCACCCTTCTTGCGCATCAGACCCTCACAAACCCCAAACTGCAAATAATTCCACTCAGTGACAGTTAAGCTTTTCATTATAATCACATAAAAAAATTAGTAACGAGTTTTGTTATTTTTTATAGGAGAATGTTAACTTTTTTACCCATAGCTTTAACGTAAGATTAGTCACACTTTATTCTCTGTGATAAGATCAGATTTCTGATCATCTATATAAAATGACAGTTACACCCTCATGCACAACAACTGCACTGGGTGTGGGCGCTTATTTGGCCAATGCGGAACATGTGACGTGCACATACGCATGCACCCACACGCCGCTGCGTCGGTATTCATCTTCGTCAATGGTAGCAGGGAGGGAGGCATTGATGGCATCGGGAATATAACGTGGTCTCTTGGTGCACGTTAGAGTCATGTTTTGTGTGTGTCTGTGGAAACAGGGCAATGCCCTCCAATCAGCTTCAGTTGTATGGAGGCCCGGCGCAGGGATACATCGACTTCCTGGAGGCAATTGACAGACAAGATGACACCTTCTACGTTGTTTCCTTTAGCCGGGTGAGCATCACTTTGTTCTTTTACTTTATGAATACAGGCCGTTCAATCTCCCAGGGCGCGGAACTTCAAACAACAGGCGGGTTCCTTAAATCTCATCGCCTCCGTCCAACCGGTGGTATAAAATGGGGACACAGAGTCCATCGGCAGGTCATGTGTGATGGGGTAAATTGTGGGTATTCCCATCTCTTTTAAAACATCTGACCAGTGTGGAGAAGTAGGCCAAATACCCGCTTAGAGGGGGTTTCTCGAGAGCTCTGTCTAGTGACGATCCGTCTTGTCAGCAGTGGTGTGAACAAGCGGTTGCCTTGTTTCTTCAGAGATATACACTTTCATCTTAAGTGTTATTATTGACATGAGATAGCATCAAAAATATAGAGCATAAATTATGGTAGCCGAGTAGACCAGCATTCATTTGTAATAACCATTGACCCCGTAAAAGTAGCAGGTGTAGTTCAATGTGTGTTATTGTCATGTTCCAAGACGAACTTGTTCTTTATTCACGAACTGAATTGTAAAATAAATGTATAAACTTGATTTGAAGCTTTCGTGACTGCAGGAATTACTCTTTGGTTCTTTCGGTAAAATCACATAGAAATAAAATAAATAATATAATAGAGTACGACGTTTCGATTGCAACACAAGCAACCGTCATCAGGCAGAACTGTGTGTCTGTCTGTGTGTCTCTGTGTGTGTCTCTCTCTGCTTGTGTGTCTCTCTGTGTGTCTATGTTATGTGTCTCTCTTTGTGTGTCTCTGTGTTATCTCTCCATGCTTGTGTGTCTCTCTGTGTGTCTATGTTATGTGTCTCTCTCTGTGTCTCTGTGTTGTCTCTCTCTGCTTGTGTGTCTGTCTGTGTGTCTCCGTGTCTGTGTTTTGTCTCTCTCTCAAAATTAGTTCTACCTGATGACGGTTGCTTGTGTTGCAATCGAAGCGTCGTACTCTATTACTTAATAATTTTCTTTCTACGTGACTTTACCCGAAAGAACCAAAGGGCAATAAATGTATAGTTAGGTAGAGGGATTCGGCTATTGGGTGGGCTCTCACTTTGTTCAGTAAAGGATATTGTGGAATTCTAGATTTGAAGTTTTCGTGACTGCAAGGGTCCATACTTTTTGTTTTTTTCGGTAAAGTCACGTAAGTAAAAAAAATAAATTAAATTAAATCACCTGAAGACGGAAGCTTGTGTTGCCTCCGAAACGTCGTGATTTAATTAAAAACATTTTTACCTACGTGACTTTACCGAAAATACCAAAGAGTATGGATACTGTGGAATGTTGGTGCCTATTTTTGTGTTAAGACAAACTGGTTATCAAACCTGCTCTGCATTTCCCTCCATGAATACCATAGCACGCGTGTTTGGTTCTCGCAGTGTGACGGGTAGGCGTTGTCTGCGGTTGAATGAAATACTTTTCAGATACGGCAAACATTTATGCTGTGTGTCTGCATGTCAATAAATGGCAGTCATAATTTTAGTAATTGGAACCATTCATTCAGCTGGTTATATTTACTAGGTTTTTTAACTGATTGAAGTGATGAAATGCACCCTTTAGTGGCTTTATCTAATGTACACTATTTGAGTATCGGTTCAGTGGAATTAGACACTGTGATCTTTGTAGATACTGTACAATTGCCTCATTTGCATATTATTTACATTAAACAAATTGAAGGCTTGGGTCAGTCTGTCCCTTCCACAGGTGTCTCATGATCTCATGAGTCATACATTTGTGTGCTATGATGAAGCCACATAATTGCTTTAAACGTGGCTCACTATATATTTCATTTTTAAGGCTACAGTGTTGTTGACGAACGAGTTATTTTGTTAATTGTGCTCGTGCAGTATCACCAAATAATTGGTTGAATCATGAGTCACGGACGTTGCTTTGTGTATCACCATGCACCTTTAAGTGAGTGTGTTTATTTATGCCGCATGTACCACTTTAGACACTGTTAGCCCAGAGGGACCTTGCCAGTGAATGATGTGGACGTACAACAAGGGGAAAGCCAGACTATGAGAACATCAGAGGGAGGTGGGTAGAGTGACCTCCCTGAGCGCGAATTATAATGCGAGGCTGCTCGACAAGGCTTGCTTTATGTACATTTATAAGGAGGATGATGCTTTTACCAGAGGTGTGGACTCGAGTCATGTGACTTGGACTCGAGTCAGACTCGAGTCATGAATTTGATGACTTCAGACTCGACTTGGACTTGCATAACAATGACTTTGTCCCACCTCTGAGGTGTGGACTCGAGTCATGTGACTTGGACTCGAGTCAGACTCGAGTCATGAATTTGATGACTTCAGACTCGACTTGGACTTGCATAACAATGACTTTGTCCCACCTCTGGCTTTTACTCCTAAGGATCATCTTCTGCTGCCTGCTATGAGCCATAACAAGACGCGGAGGCCCAAGATGTCTTTGGTCATGCCGGCCATGGCTCTCAACGGTACAAACATTCATGAATGCAGCACACACACACACATCATAACCACTGCCCTCACCACTGTCAATCACGTATCTGAAAGCCTGTTTTCACCCAGCTGAGATGGGTTGACACCCAAGCAGGTGTCACTTCAGTCAATCCAGATTTGATTAAATGTGTACCACTTTGTAGAACATCAGTCATGGTCATCCGATGCAAAGATTGGCCATGATATATCTCATTGCTGAATGAAGGCCTCTGCAGCCCATCGCCATCTCTCGTTATCCTGTAATACAATCATCAATGCAGTTCCTGCTCACGGACTGATCTCATTGCTCCACGTCCCCTCGCTGGGAGTATTTTAACCTCAGCCATATGAATGTGGAATTTTATCCATGGGCTAAGGGCCGCCGATGGAGATGATTACCATCCCACACTTTTTTAAATCAGGGGCGCTTCCAACCTTTGAATACTGCCAAATTCTTTGACAGACTGCGCCACGATAACCCCCTCACCCTCTCGGATGCCACACGAGCAATAACCGTGTCCGCTTGTCATGTGTGTGTTGAGGGGAGCGGTGGCGCAGCTGTTAGCATGCTGCGCTACGAACCCGGTGACCCGAGTTTAATTCCCGCTTAGGACCAACACCCGTGGCGATTATCTGAACTGGTCCTGGGCCTCCCCGAGTTTGACTCAGCCTCAAATTAGTACCTGATGCGGTGCGTAAACATCGCCGCTCGGGAGACAGAGGCAACTGCGTTTGGTGCTGGCCACCCACCCCCTCGTGTGCCGCACCGGCATTCATAGGTGCTCACGAGCAGCACTTGCCCCAACAGCCTGTTTAAGACTACGTGGGGGGGGTCTTTGTGTTTTTGTGGGGGCTACCCGCAGACTCGCTGGTGGATGCTGGCCCGGCCGGCTACGAGACGATGATGCAGGTGGACTGCGAGGTGACCAACACGCGCATTGTGCGCATCCGCAGCTCCTCGGTACCGCCCAGCCTACGTCGAGCGTCCCACGACAACGCCACGGGCTCCTACTCCACCAACAAGGACACGAGCCCGCAGGTGCAAACGGTGCCCCACCAGGGTTGCGACGATACATCATACTTTACAAGATGCAGGATAATCATCGTATTGTCCATTTCGCGTAGGATCGTAATGTCATTGTGCCTTTTGTTGTTGGATGATTAAGAGAAGGGGCTAGTAATGCGAGATGAGGTTGGTAAATTCCACATGGGAGTTTTTCGGGGGGGGGGCAGTGTTGTAATCGATTCTAGGTTGGACGTGGGATGCTGTGGCAACTGAATCTGAGGATTGGAGTTGTTGTGGTCTCATGATGTTATGTTGCTGCGATACGATCCGCGCTCTGTGCGTATAGCCTCCAACAGTCCGTTAAGTCTATACGGGGGGGAACTTTGTCTTTGTGTCGCAAGCAGGACCCCACTCACAGGGACGACCCGCCCTTGCGCACGAGAGCGGCCCTCTCCAGGCGGCGGCTCGAACGGGCAGCTTCCCAAAACGCCTCGGATGCCTACAGGAATGCTCAGGTCCCCGTGACCATCGACGGGGAGGGTGACTTTTAGGGCGCGAACGATTTTAAATTATTTTTACGTCGTTTGTTATACATGTCACCAAAAGGAGTCCCCACAACAATCACCTTTGACAAAGATATGAGGAGCCGAGTGCCCAAAATGACTGTATTTCAGAAGGAAAGACAATTTTTTTGGTAATTTTTCTCAAAAAATGTTTACAACAGGCATTGATGTTAATGCAGCAGCACCGCGGACACCCGTATGTCGGGCTGTAAGAACCCTGCACATTTCCTCACATCGGTGCATACAGCTGTGTTGCGTTAGCCAACCAGGAACACCGCATTTTCGTCAATTAACTGTTAATAGCAATTAATATTCAAAGCGCTTTGGAAATATTTAACAGTATATATTTTAGAAAGCTAATTCATGCCACCTCCGCCCAGAATCATGAGAAATACGTTGGCATTTTATGCAATGCTCCAATCACCGACCGAGACATTTGCGGTTGATCCCTACTGCGTTTAACCAACACCGCTGTAAATTCTGGATATGTCAGCTATACTTGGTGACCCTATGAACTTTCCACTGTGCGGTGAGAAGAAATGCAGGACATTAAACAATTTTATGCATTCACCTAACTCGTAATCCTGACACAGCGCGCAATTCAGTTGTCATCCATAAATATCACCGATGGCAAATAGCTTACCATGCAAGATGAGTTGTATATGTTTTGATTTATTCCATGGGTAAATTCCCCCACCCATTAGAACTCCCTCTATGATGCTGTCAGAGACCGTAGCTCTTCCAATTGTCGTTAATGAATGCGAATTGATTTTATGCACAATACACATCAGAGACCTGTCTAGGACCAAGTTTACTACAGCGCGCATTGCCCAGCGGCCTTTATATCTGAGGTGTGCACACTGCCTCCCCTATAATCATTGACCACTGGCTTGGTTTGTGTCACCCGGTTTCATCTGGCATCATCTGTTGTACATTACTGTCCGATAGTGTGCGACTTACTGGCTGCAACATTAACTGGCAAGTCATGTGTATGTACTGTTAATATTATTTGTTATATGCCTATTAGCATGATAGAAACATGAATCACTTTTTTATTATTTAAAAATATACGCAAAGAATATTTGATCCAGTTGTATGCAGACGTTAGTCTATACTAGGATATCTTGCATATACATGGTGTTTCTATGTATGTGGATCATGTATGCATATGTGTGTGTGTGTGTACATGTACATACATGTTTTTGCATATAATGATGGCCAGATTTCGCCTGTGGATTATACTGCTTGTCTTTTTTTTAGACTTCCCAGTCTGACTATTTTTGTTTTCTTTGTTGAATATTGTAGCGGTTATAAATATTTATACATGATTATTTTCCCCCTGACCTATAGTAGGTATATGTAGTACTTAGTCGTTAGCATTGCAAAGGGAAATACATGCTAAAGGGTCCAATGATTTGTTCTGAAATAGAAACCAAAATTACGGCGACTGCTTCAGAGTCTGGTGTGGATTTGGTGTGGGAAATGATTTATTCAAATGTTTTTAATTTAATGTCTAGTTTTTGTTTTGTCCCTTACAGTACTTAAATGCTGCACTGACGTTTGAAAAAACTCAACGTTGGGCCAATATGACAGGAGACTTTTCCATGAGAAGCATAGGCTCAATGATTAATGAATTGTATTAACCCATTCCTGCTCTCAGCACAATCTGCACTCAGCCTGTGAAAGCCAATATATTGTGTGCCCCCTTTTCTCCTAATACGCTACACGTGAAACCAGTGCATTGCAAAGTGTCTTGAGGAGAGAGTCCCTTTCATGTTCGAGCTATTTAGAGTCAGTGGTGGAAATCGAGTCGCCCAAGGATTAACCACTGTTGACGTTGACTTCCCGCAAAGTGATACTTATTTTATCAGCCCCCAGATAAATGATGGGCTGATTGTTGACTGTAATATGACCTCCGTGACCTTCCGATTGAGTTTCGCTCTTGCCGCAGTGCCACCTACCCAGATAACCCAAGATGGTTTCTGTACGTCTTGAAAAAGTGGCTTCTGTCCAATGTTTCAGAAGTGTAGCTCTTGAGTCCGTTTTTAAGTTTTTAATGTGGCTTTGAACGTTCGTATCTATTGAGTGACACTTTGCATTGGAATATTTAAACTAATAATAGATCACTTTGTTCAAGCTTATGAAGTTACCCGTGAGATCACAAGTCTGGAGTATCATGAATTGAGCATTTTAACCTCTAGAACAGGCGGTCAGCCATGAAGCATGAATCATGAGGTGATGCATCTCCAGGCGAAGCACCGCTGCCTGATTCACGTTGTGCACATTATTGTCATGCAAGCAGGAATTACATCCCCCGTTGCGCTGTCAATGAATTACAGTCCGTTTTGGGGGAACCATATGATTGTGCTTTCATGGCACTGGTGTGGACTCCCTCGTATGACCAACTCGCCCGGAATGTGTCAGACCTCGGAAGTTTAGTGGGATTAAGCCTGGATCGTGCTTGGATGGGAGATCGAGCCGGCGACCTCTGGGTTGCAAGTCCAGTGAGCAAACCGTTACACCAGGGCAGCATCCAATATGCTCTACGCTTTTGAATGTGTCACTGAAGCTTTGTTGAGAAAACATTAAAATTAGTTTTCATGAACTAGAAAATGATGGTTGTGTATGATTTCCATTGTCATTGATTTGACTGTTTCTAACTATTTAACGTACCAAGTAAATACATGTAACCCCAATGAATTTACGATCGAAACATAGATGAATTATTTACAATTATGAAGTAAAATGTAGACATTACACATCTTTCGCATTGACTGTGACACACAGATGGCAACTAAGCAATAACGTGCCAGAATTTGTAGACTGAAGGGTGGCTGTCTAGTCGGTGTTCGGCAGGCACAACACTTAATAAGCCTGATGAGAAAATCACTTTCTTCTTCATAGCCACGGTCAATGTACTGCTGGATGAAGACCTCCCCAAGCCACCACCACCTCTTATCAACCTGTGATGTGTAATAATCCACCTAACACCTGTACCCGAACTGATTTCACTGCTTCATCTCCTTGGTGGATGCCCTTTCTCAGATGCTTTTCTCTTCACGTGTGTAACATCACATCGCTATTTTCCAAACACTCCCCCCCCCCCCATAAAGATACTTTTGTTGGCACATTGATACACCGTATGAAATGTATAGGTTCAACATGTCTTGAGTAAAATGTATTGAACATTTACGACGGTCATTTTTTATGATGATAAAAATCAGTCTAAACATGCTGCACATTACTAAATAATGTAAGCATTTTTTAAGTGTGTGACGGTATAGTTATTTAAATGACATTTACTCTGTTGAAAAACAGAATATGAGAACAATGTTATGGAGCTCGAGATATAAAATATGGTGTTTGCAACAATTGGCTAAACTATTTTCAGAAGCATTTTTATAAGCGTATTACCAAATGTTTTGTTCTATACTTTTTTCACATTTTGTTCAGAAACGTAATTTTTTTTTTACGATTATGCCAAGTGCTTGTTAAAACCTAATGTTTTTCACGTGATATTTATGGATTGCGTTGAGTAAAGAAAGGGGTTTGTGCGACGTACGGTGGCTTCATTTGTGTTCCTTCTGTGGGGGGAACCTTTGAGAATAACTGTTGAGCTTTCACGAGACTTGTTTTTGCTCCTATTGAGCATGTCTCTTGCAAGGGTTATGCCACATCCTATTTGTATAGTTTTATCTCGAATGCCCATTATCCCCAAAACTATTCAATCGTGAACGTGAACACCTTCCACATGTATTTCCACTGCGTAGGTTAGGCTGTGTAGGTCTCAGGTGTTCGCTCGTTTCTCAGTCCGCTTGTCCTGGTGAGGATCGCGGCGGTAGCATGTTGAGTGGGGCGGTCCAGACCTCCCTTTCACTGGCGACAGACTCCAGCTCTTGCTGGAGAATTTCCAGGCGGTTCCCAGGCCAGCCGAGCGACATAGTCCTGCCAGCGTGTCCTGGGCTAGCTTCGGGGTCTCCGCCCAGTGGGACATTCCCGGTAGAGTTCCAGCGGGAGTCTATTGGGGGCCATCCTTACAAGGTGCCCGAACCACCTCAACTGGTGTTTTGGGTTATTCCTGAAGAAGCTCCCAACGTTGGGGGAATGACTTATTATTTGGCCATGTACGAATATCACGATTGGCTACATATATTGCAAAAGAAGTTCAACATATACATACATAGTTACATCATGCGGTACAATACTAAAACACATCTGCAGGTGGTGGCTATTCATGCCTGTAATTCCGCACTGTGAGGGTTTGTGGATCACACAAACTTGTGAAACTTCATTCCCGTGGGCATCGAGGTATTATACCCTGGGCTCTCCAGGAGAAGGCAGTGCAGCAAGTGGACTAATAATTTGTTTCCATCTATATGGGGCTAGTGCTGCCACCTTTCATAAGTGGGTTTTCTCAGGTTTCCTCCCACGCGTATTGGCTAAAAACATCTTAAAATTTAAACCCATTGCAGGAACCTCCTGAAAAAGTCCTACGATTTTCCTGGATAAATAATAAAAATAGTAATATTGCAATTTTTTTTTTACTTTTCAACATGCTTTTTCCCACAATCCTTGAGCTGCTGTGTGCACAAAGGACACGTCACCTAAACAAGTATTTTGTTTGCCTCTAATTGTCAATCCATATCCACTCTTTGTAATTAGCAGTTGGTGTCTGTGCCAATAATGAGTAGTGGGCAGTGCCTCTATTTGATGGGGGAAGTTTGTCCACTGGTGAAATGTCTCATACCTGTGTAGTGACTGACTCAGACACTAGGAGTAGGAGGCACTGTTTAACACGGCCTAACAGTTAACACTTGGTAACTACGATTCCCAGTCAGGACAGCTGATAGACTGGCTGACTGGTGACGCCGAGACGGTGAAGACGAAGACCACGGCAAAGACTCCAGCAGCACCACGGTGATCCCACTCCACACGACAGCCCCGAGGTCCCCTCCCAGGGCCCCTCTTTTACTGTCAGCGTGGCCTGGCTCCGCCCCCTTCTGGAACCTATTAGCGAGATCTCGATGTGTCCCTTCCGTGACCTTTCCCCTAGATCCCTCTCTGGTCTATCACGTGATTAACATTTTCTTGGTTCTTTCGGTAAAGTCACGTAGAAGGGAAGTAATAAAATAATAAAAATAAAACAATAATTCTCACGACGTTTCGGCCACAACGCAAGCAGCCGTCCTCAGGTGAAGAACATGTCTGTCGATAAGACAGAGTCTAAATGACACGTCTTAGGCTTGGAGTGTCTATTTAAGCTGTGAGGGAGGAGGAAGAGAGCCTTGACAAAATAATTTGCATTTGAAGAGGAATTTAGCATATTTATGGGAAATGCAGGAATGCGAATAGTGCTAATTGTGAAATGCGTGGGAGGTGGGCGGGGGGTTTTTCAAAGTCATGTTATGCCCGTGCATCATGCAGGATTAGCAGCATCAAAGGGAGGGGGCAGGGGCAGGGGCAGCACCAACAAAGGGAAGGAATGTGAATAGTATGCAGCTGCAGAAACTAAACAACCACGTAAAAAAAGCTAAAGTATAAACTTCATAGTATCATCAGTATACTAAATATACTCTCCAATAAGCTGAGCTACTAACAGTAAGTAATACATTACAATTCTATGTCGCAAAAAATATAATATGCTTCCAGCTAAACTTTTTTCCCTTTCATCAAACAGGTCTGCCCCGTACTATATGCTGCCATAGACAAACCCAACATTAAATTATATACTGTATTACTATACATCACCTTATGCATTGTTATATTACACTATGTATTATTCTACCCACCATAATGTATATCACACTGCTATATATTCACTATACAATTACGATACTATATATGACTTTGTACATTGTATTAAGCATATAAATGTTATATTATTTGTTATTATACACTGTACCATTGACCGTCGTGTGAAAGATACTAAGAGGCAGCAACGAAATATGAAAATGGGAGAGTAGCAGAGCAAAGAATCCATTCCCTGCGGAGAATACAATGCCAGTGAGTGGAACGCGGTCTGAGAGTCACCGTAAACGTGAACGTTCTACTTAATTAAATAAAATTTTTAATAAATGTTTTCGCCTACAACATCAGAGTGCAGCGCTACGTTAAATACGCACTACAATGACAATAGTTTAAAGCGATTTGAAGCATGTTTTATTTTTGTTTGGGGGAGGGGCAGACCTTTGTGACGTCATATTTGAGGGGGGAGTCTGATTTTTTGTGACGAAGGGGGGGGGGGGGTCAAAAATCGTCCAAAATCGCGTGACATCAAACAATACAAACAAACAATAGGAGTGCAAAATAAAGAAATGGTAAGTGAGTCATGAAATATAAATAATCAAATTCATTATTTAAGTTCCATTTATCTAGCTTGGCAAGGCAGCAAAAACTAAAGAAGAAAGTCCCAGACCACACCAAGATAACACAAGTCGTCCCTCAATAATATGGCACATTAATGTTGAACTACTGTATGGATACTACACATGTTAAGATCGGCGTTACAAATGACATTGGTTTTTTTTTACTAATCCGCACTGACCCAGCTAGGTGAAGTATGGCCCAACAACCCCATGTAACCCATACGGCGTGTGAAGGAAGCCTCCTTCATCCAGCAGTGCGTCGACAAATATCCTATGAAATGAAATCTATTGGGGGGCGTCCACTCTCTCCCCTGGGGATAACCGCCGTTGCACGTCCAACAAGTGCTGCTGAAATTATTTTTAAAAGGTTGCCACGGTGGCGAGATGTTATCTACCTCGCCTGGTATGCAGGAGGTCATGGGTTCGATCCCGACCCTAACGCCTGCTGTGTATTTGGAGTTTGCGGTGTCTCTCTCTCCCCGTGGTCGCGTGGATTTTTCTCTGGATCCTCCGGGTTTCCCCTCCACATTTAGAATCAACGTGCGTTTAAAATATTTGGCTGCTATAAATTTCCACGTGATAAGCCGTTTCGTTGAGCTATCATTTGTGACGAGGTCGCTTCTGAAAAAGAACTCTATAGCTCAGTGGGCCTCACCTGGTAAAATATAAATAGTGTATTTAGTTTAACTCGTGACCATATGGCCATGCGCTCATTGGTCTACACACTGATCTATCATTAATGCTTTCTTTTATTCGTGTATTCTAGTCCACATTTTACGACAACTAATTTAAACTCCAGCCGCAATTTAACGATGGCTAATAAACCAGTGGGTTGCCAACCGGGGGTGTGCGGATACCCTTGGGGTACGCGAGGTGATTTACAAACGTGTGAAGTTACATCGTACACGAGAGTCATTGGTGAATTATCATGTATGAATCTGGCAATATAAAATAACTACGATAAAATGTAAATCCATATGGTAACCTAGAACGATATCGAAGGCCTTTCTAAACTCAATGATCCGAAACAATCTGCGAACAATTTTTTTGTCGTTTGCAGTTACCGGCTAGTTAGGATATACCTCACAAAAATGACAATTGGTTACAATATTAGCGTTCCTTATTCATACATCAATACTGGTAGGAACCTCCTGGTTACACCAGCCCACAAGGGATTATTGTGTCTGTCCGTCCGTCGTGCAGGGAGGGGGTGGGGAGGGAGGGGCTGGGTGGGGAGGGGAGGGTGGGGCTGGGTGGGGAGGGGAGGGTGGGGGGGCTGGGTGGAGAGGGTGGGGGGGCTGGGTGGGGAGGGGAGGGTGGGGGGGGCTGAGTGAGGAGGGGCTGGTCACCGCGTGGTGCCCTTATAAAACTCAACATTTAACCTACTCACGCCGGCTTGTGCCCGCCCTCACAGTCGGGCATATTTGCGGAATACACCACGCTGCCGTTGACCCTGGCCATTGACCGAGCAACCCAACGTTCCTACCAGCTCCCTCCGCAGGAATGTGTTTTCTAAGAACCACGTTGGGTCAGGCAAGGGGGGGTACTTTACTCGGTTGAAACAAAATTCAACCAAGGGGGTTCAGTCGCCACAAGAGGTTGAGAAACCACTGCTCGAAACCGTCTTTGATAATTATTAATGGCCAACCTTCAAATTCTGCTTTTGGGGGTATTTACATCATTGTCATACAACACGACGCGTATTTGTAATCCTAAAACCCTTGACGGCATGGCGCCAGGAACGGACACATCCCTAGCCATGGGTTTCGTTCTTCAAGGCGCGCGGCTCACTCCTGCGGCATCGCGCGCACGTCGAGTGTAATCGACGATCTTTGTGTCTTTAGCCCTACAGGATTTTCATCGTGAAAACATCCATCATTCACGCGTGAGATAATCGTCACTGGTGTTGGCCGTGAGCGGGAATCGAACTCGTGTCGCCGGGTTCGTAGCGCAGCGGAGCGCTAACCGCTACACGACCGCTCATAACACACACACATATCGACCTACACACACATAGACTCACACACATCGACCTACACACACACATGGACTTACACACACAATTACACATATCGACTAAGACACACACACATGGACTTACAC